TTTGATGGTGTCCGGGTCATGTGACGGTGTCCCGGTCATGTTGTGATAGTGTCCCGGTCATGTTGTGATGGTGTCCCCGTCATGTCATGCTGGTGTCCCGGTCACCTTGTGATGGTGTCCCGGTTATGTTGTGATGGTGTCCCAATCATGTTGTGACGGTGTATCGGTCATGTTTTGATGGTGCCCTGGTCATTTTGTGATGGTGTCCCGGTTATGTGATGATGGTGTCCAAGGAAGAGATGGTCGATGTGTTGAAAACAGCAGCTGTTTCCAGATTTGTCTTTTTGTCCCGGTTTGTATCTTGCTATTGGGGTCTCCAGCTGGGCTAATTCTCTATTGGCAGCTTGTCCACACAGATGTACTGTAGAGATGTATGCAACTGAAACTTTGCGAGATTGCGGCAGTACTTGCAAAGAATACTGACACTGTGAGTAGCAACACCATGTACCTCATGCCCGTACCAGCGCTTGCAAATGTTTGCGAACTCCTACACATTCGCATCTCAGCTTAAAGTCGAAGTTTGTCTGCAGCTGTTTGCTTTGCAGGATTTGTCATTCGGTGCCGGTCTTAGCCCTTGTTCAAGCTGCTGCCAATGGTCTCCAAATTCAATCCTTTTCCTGCCCGCAAGAGAGTGGCAAGGGGCGAAGCGCTGTGAAGCGACCAGCTTCCACAAAGGTACGCGTGGAACGACAGCGATGGAAAGGTCTTTGATCAAGTTTCTACAAGCCAGTGATGCAGACCTCATCCACGTGCTGCGAACCGATGCTTTTGTGCCTGATTGGGAAGGGCATGTGTGCCCAGCGTGTGAGAAGGGAACCTTGTCGACTGTACAGCCACACCCTCGGACGGATGCGATGGAGCATCGCTGCAATGCTCGTGGTTGCAATGTCTACCTGAACCCTCACCATATGCAACAAGCCACTCTTTTGCTGATCAAGCTGAACAACCTCTCTTTCGCAAGTGTTCCCCATTTGCTACATGTGAATCTCTAGACCGCCGAAGACTTGGAGAATCACTTGTCTCACCTGCAGAAAACGGGTGGATGAAAACGAGACAGGAGAAGGACATTAACTTCGGGCGAGCCATGGAATGATGTTGAAGCTGACAAAGCGACATTTGACCGAAAGAGCCTTGGAGCAGATGCGCCCGACCCATCGTCATGCGTCTCGTGGAAACAGTCGCGCGGAACTGTGAACCGTGGTCATCCCAAAACACTGGTTCTCCATCCTCTCTCACCAGCTTTCAGAAAGGTTGAATGGAAGCCTTGGTCAAGGAGTGGCTCCAAGACAAGAAATTGATTTTGCACATTGACGACGCAGCTGCCTCGCCTTGTCTCACATTGTCTGCCTGACACCAAGAAGGTTGTCAAGGTGAAGGCTGGCGCGCAATGCGTTGACAGGGCTTTGGCGCTTAATGAAAGATTGCGTCAAATCCAACCAGAATCGTACAGTTGGCTCCGGCCGCTTGCGGGCTGGGTTCAGGTCAGCCCAGTACGGGTACTGGCATTGGCAGGAGGGCGGAGAGGAATTGTGCACTTGCGAAGCTTCCTGGCTTTGTCTACCTAGATTTCGCTGCCATTGGGCATGGAGGCAAAACAAAAGACTAATTTGGCTGCTGTGTGCTCCAAGTTGGTGTCATCTGATGTCAACACAACTTTACGAGAATATATAACGCCTTCTGCTTCTGTGCGACTCAGAAATATCTGTTGGCCTTGCTGAGGTCAACGCAACCACACTATACAGCAACCTAGCAAATCTTTTGTTTCTGCGTAGTTGAAAAACGTCTTGCCAATTGTCAAGGCAATTGCAAAAACAATGCAAAACATTGTTTATGTTTGTTTGTGGGGGAGGCGAGGTTAAAGAAAAACTACTGTACATATATATATATATGTCATAGATGTATCTTCATTAGGTGTGTGCGCTCCCTTTCCATCCAAAACAATCTCCGTTCCTTCAAGGTCGTCGAATTTTTTGCCGAGAGACTCCGTCTGACGTTTGCTGGATTGCTCAGGAATGCCGGCATCTTGGGCGTGCCCAATGCCAGCGGCCCCATGAGCGACGCCGAGGGCCGCAAAAGGTGAGGGTTGCCATGTGACGAACGGGTGTCGGGCAGCACACACCCAGTGCAGCTGTTCTCATGTTTCTCTTTAAGGCGTCTTCCCATATCACAGCACAGCTATCCCTGATAAGGACCACCTTTTCTTGCTAAATGTCAGGTGGTTTTGGCGTCCAAAAAGCAAGTGGTGATGTGGCAGCTCTTCACTGCAATTTATCTTAACTCGTCTGGTTTCTTATTATGGAAACTTATTTTGATTTCACGAAGCGCCAGGGTGTTGTTCCTGTAACGGCAAACGGAGACGTCCTCTGCAGGAAGTTGAATTCGGAGCTGGCCAACGGCCGCCTTGCAATGGTCCGGGGCCTCAGCTGGGAATTTTCGAAGCCGAGGCATTCCAAAAAGGTGGCAGAAATGGTTGTGGGCCCGACAAACTAGCCCTTATGGCCAGACTAGTGAAATTGAAGCACCGGAAATATTCCAATTCAACACGTGTATATTCAAACGCAGTTATGCTTGCAACAGAACAATTTTACGAACATATTTCTTCATTAGCAATAGCTTGGGGTTGTGCTTTCTTTGGGCGGCCGGGCAGCGTTGGATCCACGGCACCCGGTGTCCCGGTGTCATTCATGTTTCGGTGTTGGCTCGCTCATGTTTGGGCGGTGTCTTGATCATACTTGGCGGTGTCTCAGTCATGTTTTGGTGGTGTCTTCTTCATTGTTCGCTCGTGTCCCTGATGATTGCTGTATCTGTACTTGCCTTACTCATGATTCGTATCAGGGTACCTGCGTCGTGCTTGGCCCTTGTAGGCATTTTAGTCGTAATCTTTGTGGTTGTTTTGGCCAAACTTGTTATGTGCCTTGAGCTTGTCATGGATTTGTAACTTTGGACTGTTGTTTTTGGTGCGTCATCATGGGTGAAAACTGCGGATGGTAAAACCAAGGGCCACGGTGAACGGACCAGGAATTTGATGCGACTTGGGCAAGGAAGCGCGTATGGTCTCAAAAAAAGGTGGCTACAGATCGTCATCTGCTGTGCGCTGCTTAGCTTTCCCTGGAGTAAAATTGTAAAGTTCTTTCATTGGAGAGAGCCTGTTTTCAAAATTTACAAAAAGTCACAAACAGTCAAAAAAGTCAGTCCCAAAAGTCGAAGTCAAAAAAGTCAAATCAGAAAGTTTCAGAAAATCAACAAGGGCAATTTGCCCAGATCCGACTTTTCTGTACTTTTGTTTTTCTATCTTTGTATTTTTACTTTTCCGTTTTTTGTTTTTTTACTTTTATTTGACATTTTCCGCCAAAGAGGTTTACCTGTAAGGGGTTGTTACTCTTTTGAAAAGGGTGCGTGACCGGGCCGCATGATTTTACATTTGTCTCCGGACTTCCACACTGTGGTTGCTGTGGCCGCGTGATTTTACACCACTTGTCTCCCACAGTCTCCACTCGCTGGTGGGCACTTTGGCCGCGTGATTTTACACTTGTCTCTCATTTGTCTCCCACTTGTGCCCCACTGTCTCCAGTCTCCGTGGGTGCTTTGGTCGCGTGATTTTTACATATGTCTCCCACTGACCTCCAGTTCGCTGTGGGTCCCACTGTTTCCAGCTCTTGTGGGTGCTCTGGCCGCGTGGTTTTACACTTGTCTGGGCTTGCGCCTGGACCAAATAAACTGTTTGGGGTCAACGCTGGAAAAAGTTTAACTCTTTCGAGTGGTTTTATTTTTTACTTTTTCATCAAACAGGTTTACCTGTGAAGGGTTTTTATTCCTTTGACAGGTTTGCGCGCCCGGGCGGTATGATTTTACATTTGTGTCCGGGCTTGCGCTCCTGCCACACTGCGATTGCTTTGGCCACATGATGTTACAGTTGTCTCCCAGTACACTTGTCTCCCACTGCCTACTCTGGATACACTTGGCCGGTTTTTACACCTGTCTCCACTTGTCTCCCTGCTTGTCTCCCTTCTTGATGCACTTGTCTCCACTGGTCTCGGCCTACTCTGGATAGCAGTGTGCTCGCGCCATGCGAGGGCTGCGTGCAGGTCATGTTGACCCATAGACTCCACTTCATGGTTTGGGGGTCGACTGTTAGAAACTCTTCAGGGTTCAGGGACGAAACCCTCCTCAGCGCTGTTGGTTATGTTTTAGAAAGGCCATTTTCATTGTTTTTCATGGTGTACACCTAGGGTTGAAGGGCGTGTTGCCCACTAAACAATTTAATCTTTTCGCCCGAAGCTTGTCACTTCCGTTTGTCACAGTCACAGGTGGCGATCACTGGAATGCTTTTCCAGAATGGATCCTTGCTGAAAATGGGGTGTGGAACACCTTGGAAACGTCGGGAAGAACATTATAAGAACAAAGGACGCGTTGTGGGCCTCCTCGTTGGTAGACTCTTTTCGGGTCGGTGCCCCACTTTTGGTAGGGCCAGACCGGTGAACGTTTGCGAAAAACGACGGAGCCGTCGGGGATTCACCTGAAGCTTTAGCGTGACCCAAGCAAACCAATTCTTGTTCTTGATGTTTTAAGTGTGTTTCTCGAGTTGAGGTGACCTCCCTCCTGAACAGATGCATGACTTGTATATGACGTGTTCTTAATGGTCGTTTCAATCAGATGTTGGAACACTGGCAAACGATAGGGGACTCACAAAAGTTTGACAAACGATGGGTGACTCACGCATTTGACGATGTAGTGACCGCGTGTAATAAAATTTGACTGTACCTCCTTTATACGCATGTGCAGACATATACATAATGTACATAATTGTATGCTTGTAAATCTTCTTTGGCCATGTGAGATTGATGCATGTGCTGGAATACACCTCAGTTCCTTGGCAAAAACTTCGAGTCTAGTGTGTTTTCTTGCCTCTTCTCCCAGTACCATTTGACTGTGCTTTTTTTACAACCAAGGCATGTTTGGCACCACTGGTCCAGCCATGTGGGGCTTCTAGTCAGCGACTGAGCAGGCAATGGTTGGTTGGGTGCATCAGGTGAGTTGGTTGGTGAGTTTGGCATGTTTGCGTTTTTCTATTTCGATCGCAACTCGGACTGTTGGGTGAGTTCTAAAACTAGTACGCAGGCCCTTCACTGGCATACGAAGATTCTGCTGGCGGTAGGCTCAGGAGGTAGTTAGCAAGACAGTGCATTCAACCTGTATAGACTATAGGCATTCTATTGGACGCAGCCAGATCACTGCGTGCTGGGCGGGAAAGACAAAACTTGACATAACAGTCCAACACACACACAGAGATTTCATTGTTTTGCCTGACAACTTCCAATCCAAGGCAAACTAGAAGAACAGTGACCGGTGGGCAGGCAACAATATTGGGGATGCAATGCGCAGGGATACAAATAGAACTCGAGATATAGAAAGGCACTGGCAACGCACTATGTAGTATGTATCTCGCCAAATAGTTCGGAAGCTCCTCCCGACAAGAAGTGCGTGCGCAGGGTGAATTGGTCTGCCTGCGCTGCCGCTTCACTGTGCCATCACTGTGATGAATTTTGCGGGCGGTGTGGACATCAGTCATCAGTGTACAGGCCGTGTGCTTGGCAGGCAAAAGTGGTGACTTTAAGAGGGTAGCCGCCTTGAGATGTCATAAACCATCAAAAACATGTGAGTAGCGATACCACCCTTGAACAGGCGATGCCATCATCAGGATATCCAACAATGACGTGTTTGTACATGCTATTGGTATACTTTCACGCCTATTCTTTGATTTTAGCCTTTCTTGGGGCGGATCTCCCTACTGAAGGATCGATAGATACCTAGGTTGGGTTAGATCAGGTTGGATGGGGTCGTATTGGATGGGATAGACATTTGGGAAGATGGATGGCATCCTTGTGTCTAGCTGCCCTCGGCGATACCTACTACTAATACTACTAACTACTACTAACTACTTATACTACTTATACTACCTACTACTAACTATTAGCTAGTGACTACTAGCTACAACACTAGTAGTAGTAGTAGTAGTAGTAGTAGTAGTAGTAGTAGTAGTAGTAGTAGTAGTAGTAGTGGTAGTGGTAGTGGTAGTGGTAGTAGTAGTAGTAGGAGTAGTAGTAGTAGTAGTAGTAGGAGCAGCAGCAGCAACACTACTACTACTACTACTTCTACTACTACTACTACTACTACCAGTACTACCAGTACTACTAGTACTAGTAGTAGCAGTAGCAGTAGTAGTGGTAGTAGCAGTAGTAGTAGTCGTCGTCGTAGTAGTAGTAGTAGTCGCAATGTAGTAGTACTAGGATTAGTAGTAGTAGTAGTAGCAGTAGTAGCAGTAGTAGCAGTAGTAGCAGTAGTAGCGGTAGTAGTAGTAGTAGTAGTAGTAGTAGTAGTAGTAGTAGTAGTAGT